TATGTTATTCAAATTGAAGAACGAAAGAGAACTAAGACAAGAAAAAAATAAATAAATAAAAAAGCATATATATATATTTTTTATAATTTTAAGTAAACTTTAATCATTTTATTTTCTGAAGAAGGACACCTTGTTGTACCGAAACGTCAAAATGTCTTAATAAATAAATTTTATCATCGTTCAAGGAAGAGAATTGCTTTAAATTATGACTTCGTTAAGCTTCCTCACACGTAATTAATTGCACAACTTCGTAAAAAGTGGTTAAATAGTTTCTCATTAAGAAAAAGCTGAACCTTGAATCGAGGATTAATCGAAAACCGAAAGGCAAAAGTTGAAATTAGTAGATTGAATAGACTTTTCATTAGGAGATAGATCTGTTTGTTTTCAATTAATTCATCCACCCTCGTCCGCATTCAGCGACTGTATGCGTAAGTATGTCTTACAGACAAAAAGAGTCTACGTGTTCTCGAACAAAGAGAAGATGAGTAATTCTTTTTATACTGTTTAAATATTGTCTGCTCACAAACAACCCTTTAGCTACTTGCTTCTGCTCCATTCTACATAATGTTTACAAGCTTTTTTTTTTCATTCATTTCTCTACAATAATCGGTGCTTATATAAGAGCAGCAGTATTTGTATAAAACCATAAGCACACATATTTTATAACTGTTACATATACTCGTATTTCTGCGCCCATTGACACCAGCCATATGAATAACATTAAAATTGTGGTTTACTTTGTGTGTATCTTAGTATTTCTGGCTGAACATTGTCATGCGATAAAAGGGAAAAAATCACAGCAAGCTGGGAATAAACGTGGTTGCCTTAGTCTTGGTGCTGTTTGTAATAGTCATACCGACTGTTGTGGTCATGATGATCCTGAGAGCGGTCATTGTATTCTTTGCACTGGTATTCTTCCAGGACTTTTTGGTGTTGGCAGTCGTACCTGTGGTTGTAGTAAATTTTCTGTTGCTGGCAGTCGTGACACCGGTACTCTGACTGATATTTGCGATGGTAAAGATCGGTCTGGTAGTCGTGTTTGTCGTACACGTGTTGCTCCTCCTGGCCATAGGTATTATCGTGGCGATGGTTACTATTATGGTCGTGGGAAAAAAGCTTAGTATGTTGTTGCAATATATGCAATGTCTATCATAACTTATCATACTCCTTTTTTTTAATAGAATGTGACGCGAACTCATCTATCTGCTGCCAGTTGAATGGAGTCGTCAATCATCATCCGACACGATGAACATTATCAATTAGTTAGCACTTACTCATCTTTTGAATAATTGTTCCTTTTCTTTTTTTTTCCTTTCAATTTTCAATTTTATTTTAAAATGAAAGCAATGCTCTTAGATTCTGTCTAGTTGCTCAAGTTTTGTTTTGTTTAGAGCATATCACTGAATTTTCTGGAGTCATAAATGTCATTTATATAGGGATTTGTTGAAAACCGTAATGTTTTTCAATGTTATCTCTTGCGAATTCGTATAGAGTTTGTGTGCAAGTCTTATTACGAATGTATATCTTTCACAAATACAGAGGTACGTTGCTTCTCTACATTGTCAACCCAATCCTCAGGCGAATACTCGATATGACCTTGCGATGACTCAGTCTTGAAAAGAGAAAGTTAAGATTAGCATTCTGACTTTATTTTCTTTCTGCTACAAGAAGTAGACTCTTGCTATGATACGGTTCATTCACTAATGCGTGATCGCATCTCTCTAGAAGAAATTTTTTCTTTTGATTTCATTTGCAAATCTCACATTCATTTTATAAAGCAGAAGTTATGAATATCTATGCAGATTAATAGCTATTCAAACATAATAGAAAAA